GCTTAGATGATACTAAGCTGCGAGGGATTGCAAATGTTTCAGAGAATAGAGTTATAATTCAAAATGATCTGGACAAACTGGAGAAATGGTCTGAGGTAAATAGGATGAAGTTTAATAAGGACAAAGGCAAAGTACTCCACTTAGGGAGGAACAATCAATCAGTTTCACACATACAGACTAGGAAGTGACTGTCTAGGAAGGAGTACTACAGAAAGGGATCTAGGGGTCATACTGGACCACAAGCTAAATATGAGTCAACAGTGTGATGATGTTGCCAAAAAAAGAGTAAACATGATTCCGGGATACATCAACAGGAGTGTTTTGAGCAAGACACGAGAAATCATTCTTCCACTCTATTCTGTGCTAATTAGGCCTAAATTGGAGTAGTGTGTCCATTTCTGGGCACCAAATTTCAAGAAAGATGGAGAAATTGGGGAAGGTCCAGAGAAGAGCAACAAGAATGATTAAAGATCTAGAGAACATGACCTATGAAGGAAGACTGAAAGAATTGGGCTTGTTTAGTTTGGAAGAAAAGAGAAGACTGAGAGGGGACATGATTGCGGCTTTCAAGTATCTAAAAGGATATTATAAGGAGGCGGGAGGAAAAATTGTTCTCCTTGGCCTCTGAGGATAGGACAAGAAGCAATGGGCTTAAACTGCAGCAAGGGAGGTTTAGGTTGGACATTAGGAAAAACTTCCTAACTGTCAGGGTGGTTAAACACTGGAATAAGTTGCCTAGGGAGGTTGTGGAATCCAACCTGCTTTTAAATAGAGAGAATCCAAGCTCTATAGCAATACTTTCTTGCCTCTGACTAAGCTGGGTTTGCTCCTCCCCATAATGAGCCTGATGCTGTTTGGCTAAGGGGTGTTTGCTAACTTATTGAGAGAGATACCTTGTTGCTAGAGATGGCTGTGTAAGAACCTGAAAGCAAGGCTTGTCCTCATCTTTGTGTTTTCCTTACTGAGAGCTTATCCACACTTATTGATGTGTGGTGCTACTGCCTGATTTTTCTCTTCACAACAGGCCTAGAATCTTCCTACTTTCCCTCTCCTCTGTGTCTCTTCAAACCTTCCTGCACACTACCTTTTCTAGTATGATCGAGGAAGCACAAACAGTGCAGCAAGGGACAACATATCTATCAAAGGGTTGAAGTTCCCTTGCTTGGGATTCTTAGTGCAAATAGTGCTTACACACTAGAGCAAGTTCAACACCATCTGCTTTGTTGACACAGTACTTCATAAACAGTTGTCTCCCCCCCCTTTTCCCCAAGTCTTTCTCTGCTACCCAGACACAGGGCAGGACTGAAGTGAGAGCATTCATCTCAGATCTTGGGCATCTCTGGTGCACCCTTCCAGGCTCCCCCATATCTTCCTGACTTCCTTTCAACAGTTTCCAGCTGACAGGATGAATCACCCAGATAATTATTTAATTGCTTAGTACCAAAACTTACCTCAGCAATGTACCCAAGGTGGGGACACCTCCAAACTCTGAGTGGAGAGTCCGCCTTAGACTACTCACATTGTTACAACAGGCTTAGCTTTCACATACTATGAGTGTCTGCACACAAAGTAACCCCCTAATTGGCAGCTGTGGTGGATATTGATCAGCCCAGAGTAACCAGCTGTGACCATAAGATGTACATAAAACATTCTCCAACTCTGACGTGAGTTCCCACACTCGATCATTGAATATAAAGATAATTCAAGGGAATCTTAAAATATGAGGAAGCGGCAAGAAACTTATGACTCAGACTAACATGGATATAGACCCAGCCGTATAACTTTGCTTGTCTCTAGACATGGCATAGGGCAATTTTTTCCCAGGTGCAAACCCCTTTGGAAATCTCAGACAGTCTGTCCCCTTCTTCTCCCTGCTTGAAAACCATTGGCTTATGATGAACTAGTTGTTTCCTTACAAGGGAAATTTTTGCTGCGCATGATTTATTGCAACATTGTTTTAATAATGCTGTTTCTTTTGGCACAAGTCAGAAGTCATTTCTGCCCACTCATGGTCTAGGCTGACAGCATCAAACAAGACATATATCAGTTGCTCAGTAGCTTTCATAAGCAGCCCATCATGCTAGATAACTTGAAACTACAGTATTTCATATCACTCTCTTCCCTAAGATACAGGTAATAAACCCAAAAAAGAAACTTTCAAGTTAGTGACAATAAATGTAAATTTCTTGTAAGATATGAAAAATCTTTTAAAACACTGTTGCCTTTCCTTTCCCTTCCCTTCCTCTCCCCTCCAATCTAGAGTGATCACGCAAGGAGCCAATATTAGTCACAGAAGATGAATCCTTTATTCAAGGTCAAATGAAAGTGAACAGGAAATGGGTTACTCATCTTCAGAGAATTGCCTATTTGGTGGCCCTTACTACATGTTTCACATTATTAGCCTGACCAATTTCTTTACTTGCTGTGCAATATAAAGACTTGTACTGTTCTGGAAATATAAATTCATATGACCCTTAAACATCATAAGATACAATGCAAAGAAAATACTATTAAAACATATGTTCATTTAAGAGGTCTTTGCTTTTTGGCTACAGGGTTCAACATTTTCTCATGTTGCAATAAGTAATGTTAGTTTTATTTTGGTGCACACTGGTGTTCTCACTGCTTTGTTCAAGGCGCTCAGCTATAGTGACAGCATGATTTTCAGTTGATCATCTGTCACTCAATGCTGATGATCACAGAGGCAAAAAACCATGCAACTAGTGTTAATTGGCTAAAATTAGTCTGCGAATATATGTATATATGTACTTTGAGAATGTTGAACATTGTAACCTGCTTGCAATTTTATATTATCCTGACCAAACACCTGTACAGTTACCTTCTGCTGTAAAATACTGTCTCTTTTTTATTTAAGGTTTGGTGTTCAGGCAACTTACCCATTTAGCCGTTGCTCTAAGTGAGTTCTATTCTACTTACTTTCAACATACACAATTTCTACACAGTCTGTTCATTCATATTTAATAATGCAAGGTGAGGGGCAGCCCCAGATAACTCTGGGCAGTGATTACAGGGAACCCAATTTCCAATGTTTGAGTCACAACCCTGTGGAAGTCATGAAAACTATTTGCTAATTTAGATAAGACAGGTCTGCAGGAAATAGCTAGCTCTGCCAAGTACAGTTAAACTCACCACTTCTAGCAGCTGTCCCTGGAACACTAGAAGAATTCTCCCAAGTACCATCCTTCCATGGATTTAAGAACTTTCACATCCTATTGACTGTTGCTGGGACTTGAAACTTTCAGAAATGCTCATCTACAGTTACTTCTATCGGGAAAATTTTAGACTTGAAAAAGTAGGTGACAAAAACTCAGCTGGAAAGCAACATATTGCAATGACTGGCTAAAAGCAATGTCAACACTCACATGTGCGGACATAAGGTTATAGCCGGACATTGTGGGTCTTAGCAATTTTCAGAACTGAATGCTGGTAGGAGGAGATATTTTGGAAATTTAAGTGTAATATGTATCTCCCTTTGAAAATCAAACTAAATGTCTCTTTTTGGCAAAAGCCCATCATGTCCTTTCTGCAAATGGAGGGCTGTAGATAACATCATAATACAAGCCACATCACAAATCAACCTTTGCAAAACTCGATGTCCCTACTTTTGTTTCAAAGCCAGGTTCACCATGGTGAGCCATGTGATCTGACTTACGGTTTTGAACAGGCTGATTCATGTGGCTTTGTCTCAGTCAAGTTTTGCCCCCAACATGGAGTGAATCAGAAGAGAAGGAATGTAAACCTATGCTGATAGTCCAGATGAACCAAGACTGCTCAAGCTTATATAATAATGGCCTCTATCAATGATGTGACATATGCAAGAGGTTGGACAGACTTGAAAGACATCCTGTGGTGGAGGGGGACGGGACAGCAAAGACTTTGGACAGAATTTTACATACACTGTAGTCTTTAAGGCACAGCCCACACTGCTAATACAATATAATTGATCAAAGAGAACATCTTTTTAAGCTTGTCAACCTAAACAGCCTTCTTACACTCTTGCATTTGACATCTATCTATATAGCCATCGTGAGGATGATCAGTATGGAAAATTTCAGCTCTCCGGAGATGGTGGCTGTGCAGCACAATGAAAAAAGCTATTAGACAAGAATAAGCCTATTGATTAACAGACCGACCTGAGCAGCAAAACTTGCTTGTGTTAACCACAATGCCTACTCATACTAAAAACTTCCATTCTAGTTGCCAAG